TCAGAAGGGGTCTGGGAGCTGTTCAGCCTCCAGGGGTGCGGAACCTGCGGCCTGGAGGCCACGTGCGGTTCTCTAGGTCCTCCAGTGTGGCCCTAGCCACATGCGGCCTCCAGGCCACAGGTTCTCCACCCATGGCCCAGCCAGCCCCTCTACCACAGAGCACATAAATGGTCCTCTATCTATTTATTTATTTTGCTTTTTGATGAGGCAGTTGGGGTTAAGTGACTTACCCAGGATCACACAGCTAGTAAGTGTTAAGGGTCTGAGGCTGGATTTGAACTCAGGTCCTCCTGACTCCAAGGCCAGAGCTCTATTCACTGCCTCTTATTATTTATTTATTTATTTGCTATAAATAGCCCTCTAACTTTGGCTTGAAGGCCTCAGAGGAGGGGGAGTCCACTCCCCCTCAGGACTCAGGGCAGCTCTCAGGGTTAGGAAGTCCTTCCTTCTCCGAAGCCTCCGCTGGCCTGTAGGTGCATTCCACCCAAGGTTTCTCACTCCGCCCTCTGGGGACCCTTCTAACCTGCTAGAAGAGGAGCCGTTATGTACTCACCCTTCTCCCAGCCACGCCCTCCCATGTCCATCATCTGACCCTTGCAGTGCCTTCCTCTATAAACCCTCTGGCTTACCAATGTCCTTACGAATGCATCACCCTGATTTGAAGACACTCCTCCAGCCTTGGTGGGCCAGGGTAGAAGACCTGGGAACTGTTACCACCTTACTCCTGGAAGCCACGCCTCTCTTACTGAGACCAAGGTCACACGGTATGCTGGCTGCCATATTAAGCTGCTGACTCAGATTGAGCTTGCAGTCCACTGAGACCCCCAGATCCTTTTCAGATAAAACACCTCTTCCTTCTCATACTTGTGGAGCTAATTTTTTCCCAACCCCAGTGCAAGCCTTCCCCCGCCCCTAGTCCATACCATCTTATTGGATTTGTGCCGATGACCAAGCTCCTTCTCCTCTGCTTGCTCTCCTTTCCAGTTTGCTTCATCTGCAGATTTGACGAGCCTGCTCCGCATAGGCCTTTTGTCTAAGTCCTTGATAACAAGGTAAAACAGCAGCATGGCCAAGGCAGAAGATCCCTGGTGCCCTGGACGGAAGCCTCTCTCTAGGCCGCCGAGGCACCGTCCAGTCCGGAGCCGTCCTGCCCTGAGTCTGTTCCTCCCATCGGCTCTACAGGCATGGTGCAATGGGGGCTGCACCCCAGAATCTAGGCAGAGGCCTCACTCTTCTCATCTGGTGGCCTGCTCACTCTCTAAAATCCCCTCCCCCACCTGTTTAGAAGGAGGAAACAGTCCGTTTGTGCAAACAAGCTGTGAGGGCCAAGAAACCACAAGCAGCTGGCTCCGTTTGCCAGAGGGTCCCCATCGAAGGACAGAGCGGCCGCTGTGGGCAGGGGCACCAGTTGACGGGAGACGGGCTTCCTGACCAGGCCACAGACGGGCACTTCCTGGGGGCAGATGGCACCTTCACGGTAGGCTGCCTCAGAGAGAGACAAGGGACAGGGAAACTGCAGAGGCCTAGCTGCCATGGGGGGCTTGCCCCACCTCCACCAGACACGCTCACACACACACACACACTCACACAGTCACTCATAGACCACACGTATTCACATACTCATGCTCACAGACACCCATTCACGCACATATAGTTACAGTCACATACCACACACTCACCTCCCATACTCACACACCACACGTATTCACACACTCATGCTCACAGACACCCATTCACGCACATATAGTTACAGTCACAAACCACACACTCACCCCCCACACTCACACACCTATAGTCACACACCAAACACACTCACACACACACGTACATACACCCATACAACATGCATATTCATACATGTACACATTCACACATGCTCATACATATTCACACACACCACACTCACACACCATACATATCACACACATATACTTGCACACACTCACACGCCCCACATACATTTATACAAACTCCCATACATGTACCCACACATACAACACACACATTCATACACACATATTCATACATACGCTCACATACCACACATTCACATACACACACACCACATACATATTCACACTACTTACACACTGCACACGCTCAAGCCAGCATGAGAGCAAGGCTCCTTTGCATGAGGGTTTCCAGGGCCTCAGACGCCCGTCCCTCCATGCTCTGCTAACTGGCCAAAGAGGACGTGCAGGCCCTAATGGGCCTTACTCCCAGACGTCCTCCCTGGGACTTGGGGCCGGGCTTCTCTGGGTAACATGGAGGAAGGGTGCCCCCTGAGTCTGGGGCATGGGGCGTGAAGGTGGAGAGCCAGCTGGACAGCTCAGACCCCAGGCCCCTGTCAAGGGAGGTGACCAGCCCAGCTGGGTCTTCAAAGCCCCACGAATCCCAGTAACGTGCCTGGACAGACTGCTAGAGGCCTGGCCCGTAGCTCGTTCACTGACTGACTGAGCGCTCCTGAAAGGGGCCCTTGCTTTCTCTCTGACCTCCAGACTGAGGTGGGCTTGACGAGCAGCATCTTGGCAGATGGCCAAGGTCATCAAAAATGACAAGACCCTGCGGTTTGTTAGGGGGCCCTGGGATGCAGGGAGGGACAAAGCCTGCAGGAGTGGGGAGGCGGTGGACCCCCTCCACTCTGCCCTGATCAGACCTCACTGGGAGGATTGTGCTCTGGGTCTGGGAGTCAAGCCTCAGGGAGGCCACAGATAACGGAGAATATGGAGATGAGGGCAGTGACCAAGAGGGCAGGGCCTTCCCCCCCCCCAGGAGGGCCAGGCCTTCTCCTCCCCCCCCAGGAGGGCCAGGCCTTCCCCTCCTCCCCCCCAGGAGGGCGAGGCTTTCCCCTCCTCGCCCCAGGAGGGCCAAGCCTTCCCCTCCTCCCCCCCAGGAGGGCCAGGCCTTCCCCTCCTCCGTGGGAGGTTTAGCTGAAGGAATTGGGGGCCTTTAGCCTGGTGCTGGGAAGGGGCTGTCCTCGAGTACTCCAAGCTCAGCCCTATGGAAGAGAGAGGACACTCGGACCCCTGGGGGCAGAACCAGGAGCCACTGGGGGGGGTCTCCAAGAGGCAGATTCAGGGGGTCCTCTGCTCAGAGGTTTGAAAGCAGAGGCCTCCTAGGGACAAGTAGAGGGAGCCTGCTCTGTGCAGGGCTGGAGGAGGTGCCCCTGACATGCCCAGGGCTCTCTGTTTTCATCCTGCTGGGTCTGAGTTAAAGTCGGGGGAAAGAAGACTGCAGAGCTGGGGGCGGGGGTGGGGCCAGGGCAGCACCCTGCACAGGGAGCCAGGCTGCACAAACCCGACCGCACATGCACAGAGATGCCCCCGCCCCCCAAGCTGTTCTTCCTCTGTGCAGGTGGGAACCTCTTCCTGCTGGGGCCACGAGGCTGCGTCCTCCCGCCCAACCCCCAGCTCACACCCAGGACAGACTGGGCTGTTCTTGTGGGCCCATTCCACAGAGCGCCTGGGGTGGGAAAGCCAGAGAGGGAGGTTGAGGCTGAGCCAGACAGCCCAACAAGGTCCTCTTAGGATGGGTCATCCCGAGGCCCCTCCCCTCCAGGAGGTATCTGCTGTACCCCAGGGCAGGCAGGCAGATTGCTTAAAGGTCTGCTAAACTCACTAGAGCCTCGGGCAGCTCTGGCATCAATTGAGCAATCAGCATTTGTTAAGCCCCTACTGTGTGCCAGGGGCTGTGCTAAGCATTTCAGCGCTGGTCCCATCAGTATCGTTGCCCTTGTTTCACATATGAGGAAACTGAGGCTCATGAAGGGCGCAGCGCTGTAGCCCTCTTAGGCCCAGGGGTGACCAATTTTGCTCCAAAGGGCCTTCTGAGGTCCTCTAGTCTAACTCCCCCACGATCCAGAGGAGAATCCATGCAGCCAGAGAGGAGAAAATGACTTGGCCAAGGCCACACGGGTATAAATGCTAGACCAGTCTGGCTGGAGTCCTCTGCCCCCCAAGGCAGCGCTGCTTGCCTGACTTGGTCTGCTTTCGGATTTGCAAAGCCTCTTGTCATCCCCCAGGTGGTAAATTCAGACCATGCAAATAACTTTGAGGCCCCAGAAACCTCAGATGGGGAAGGAGCAAAGACAGAGGCTAAGCTGTGCTTGCCTTCGGAGATAGGCTTCAGGGAGCAGGCAGCCCTTTGGAGCCTGCCGAGGCTGGGGCTCGTTACTGAGACGCCCAGCACCTTCGGTGAGTCCAGTTTAATTAGGGAGGAATCCTGAGAGCCAGTCATCCACTGAAGGCAGAGGAGGCTTAGCACCTTGTGATCCAGGTCATCTCCAGAACTGACATTTGCTAAGCACTTAGGGGCATGATTCCATTTGAGGTTCATAATAGCCCTGAGGGACCAGATGGTGCTATTGTCACTCCCAGTTTATAGTTGGGAAAACTGAGTCTCAGGGAGTGAAGTACATGGCTATGAATTAACCCCTTCCTGACTGTGGGTCAGGGCCTGTGCTCACTGGGCCACACTAGCCCCCACAGTGGGCAGAAGGACCGCAGGCTCCTCACACACCCTTCCAGAGCAAAGGCCTTTGCAGCCCATTATCACCACCACCACCCCCTTCCTGCAGTCTCATGGCTGCACCAGGAGGCCTAAGAAGACAGCCTGGGGACCTTGGCTCTGGACACTTACTAGCTCTGCGATCATGGACAGGCACACCACTGCTTAATGCCTCAGTTTCCTCATCTGTAGTATGGGCATGACCCTCCTTGCACACCCCCTCAGAGCTGCTGTGAGAAAAGCATTTTGTGAATATTAAGCTACTGTAAAAAGGGGGCCAACAGTCACCAGTGGCTGGCTTTTTAAGTTGGAAGATATCATAGACATTATTAATGGGACGGTAACAGACGTCTGGGCCCAGGGACTTTATGGAAACAGGGAGTGACCCAGAGCTGCTGCTAGGCAGCTACGGGGATGCCACCAGGCCTGGAGTCTGGAAGAGCCAAGTTCAAATTCAGCCTTACATCCTTAATAGCTATGTGGCCCTGGGTTAGTCACTTTACCTCTACCTGCCTCAGTTTCCTTACCTATAAAATGGGAATAATAATCATGCCTGCCTCTGTAGGGTGGTTGTGGAGATCAAATGAGATCATATTTGTAGAGGTCTGCAAACCTCGAAGCACTACAGAGATCTGAGCTCTTAGTAACTATGGTTCCCAAGCCCCTTCGGAGAAACTCCACAGCTGAGTCAGCTCTGTGTCGGATCAGAGGCCCCCGGATCTAATAGGGAACTCAGGGGTCACTGAATCCAACCCCTTATTTCACAGATGGGGAAACTGAGGCCCAGAGGTGACATAGGCAGTGTGTCAGAGATGGGATGTGACTAGAGGCCCCTGGATCTAATAGGGAACTCAGGGGTCACTGAATCCAACCGCTTATTTCACAGATGGGGAAACTGAGGCCCAGAGGCGACATAGGCAGTGTGTCAGAGATGGGATGTGACTAGAGGCCTCTGCCAGGGCCTCAGTGTGACTGGCCGACTCTGGCAAGCCTCCCTCCTTCTCTACCCTGAGTCTGTCACCCGTAGCCTCCTGGTTAACAAGGGGAATGAGCCTCAGGATACAAATTCCAGGAACTCCTCTGGGAGACTGGCTTTCCAGCCCCAGTAAGGATTCCTCTGAAGGGCCAGATCCGAGGCAAGGGGTGGGGGAAGGCTGGAGGGCCTTCTGAGATAAAGGCAACGCCCAGTGAGGGGTGGGGGAAGAGGAGGAGAGGTGACCGTGAATTCTCCATGGGACACGGACTGGAACTCCTCTCTCCCAAAGAGGGGAGATTACAGTAAGTACAGGCTGCGGCCTTTGGAATCCCAGAGAGCCAGGAGATAAGGGGGTTTTAGCCTGGGGGGAGGTGGTGCGCTTCTCTGAGCCAGGCCTCTTTCCTTCCCTACCCTCTCATTCCTTGCAGTGGATCGGGTGATGGGCTGGGCTTCTGCAGGAGGTCTGGGAGCTGGGACCTGATTACGTGTGAAAACGCCATTTCCTTGGCAAGATCCTTCATGTGTGTCTGGGGCTGGGCTCCAAGGTCCTGACCATGAATTTTCTTAGGGAGGCTTTAAAATGGCCCTTCAGATCCAAGCTGAGTATGCCTTTCTCGTGGCTCTTCTGACGCATGCTGGGCTCGAAGCCCATGGAAGGTGGTGATGAGGTCCTGATCAGCTTCCAGACAGGCCTGCCTTGCTGCTAGTTCATAGCCCACTCTTGGGGCTAGGGGTCTCATTCCCATGACAGGCCATGGGTTGGGGGCATGCAGCTAGACAGGGTTTCCAGTCACTGCAGATCTGACCTTTGTGCTCCAGGGTTTTCACAACAGAAGGGATCCTTGTCCTTCCTCAATCTTTGTCCATGGCCAGCGGAAGACATCACAAAAAGAAGCTGGCACAGAGCAGGTAGGCAGCTGTAGAGTGAAGCTGGAAAACCCAGCTCCGGACGGGGCAAGGGCAAACACCCTGCTGGGGCCTTGCGGACCTCCCCCACCCCACAGTAAACCTAGAAAGAAAATCGTTATTGGGGAATGGCCGAGCAAGTTGGGGTATATGAATGTGATGGAATGCTATTGTTCCATAAGAAATGATGAGCAGGTGGACTTCAGAAAAACCTGGAAAGATGTGCACGAACCGATGCAGAGTGAAGCGAGCAGAACCAGGAGACCATCGTACACAGGGACAGCAACATTTCATGATGATGAGCTGTGAGTGACTTAGCCCTTCTCAGCAGCACAAGGATCTAAGACATCTCCAAAGGCCTCATGATGGAAAATGCTGCCCACATCTGAAGAAAGAACTATGGAGTTTGAACGCAGATCGAAGCAGACTATTTGCTATCTTTTTTCTCTCTTCTGTTGTGTTTTGTTTCCTTTTCTGGTGGTTCCTCTTATTGGTTCTAATTCTTACCTACAACATCACTAATGTGAAAATATGTTTAATAGGAATGTATATGTAAAGCCTGTATCAGATTGTCTTGGGGAGGAGGAGAAAAATTTTAAACTCAGAAGCTTATGGAAGTGATTGTTGATAAATAAAAATAAACTAATAAAAATTTTTTAAAAAATCGTTACAGGAAAAAAAAGCCCCTCCCTGTAAGGGCCGGGGGTCTCCAGCGAGGACACCTGTTACTCTCCATGGAGCATTGCACCCCAAATTGCAGGTCTGAAGAAGCAGCCTCCCCCCAGGCTGCAGTGGGTGTTTCTTAGGAGGGGGTTTTGAGAGCTGAGCTTCTTGGGTCCTGGAGGAAGATTTTCAAACCACCCAGAAACCTGAGACGTTTGTGTCCTGAGAGAGCCCTCTTTGAGATGCCCAGAGGAGGGATGGGCCTCGCACCAGGATGGGGGAAGGGGGTACTTGGTGGCAATCTCATCTGCAGGGACTCTTTCCCGGACAAGTGGGCTCTGCTTTTTTATTCTGAATTATACAAATGACTTGGTTAGAGGTCATCTTAAGCGCTACTTAGTCCAAGGAGACCTTCCCTGTGGCCCTTCTGGGCCCTCCAGCCTCTGTGGCTAGGCAAGGCTTTCAGAAGGCTCCAGTTCACATACACATCCAGACACCCAGACACCCACACACATCACAGGCACACATCACAGACACACATCACAGACACACACACACAGAGACACCCAGACACACACACACATACACACATACACCATTCCAACCTGATTGCGGGTCCCCAGACTCAGGATTCCATTCCAGGCTCTGTCCCCCTTACACAGGCCTGGAATCCAAGCATCTTGGAAGGCTCATCAGTGCCACCCTCTCCAGAAAGCCCTCCTGGATCCCCAGCTCATTACTTCTTTTCCCCTCCTTATCTTGTGTTTTCGTATCTACAAGGCCATATGCCCTGCATTGCCCCCTAAGCCCTTCCACGAGGGTGGACTTTATATTGTCTTTGCTCTGTACCGGGCCCAGCATGGCCCAGCGCCTCATACACTGTATTTGCTCAATAAATGTTGAGTGAAAGATGGGCTTGCACCCACGTGCATGTTGCAGTTCTCAAATAGCCCCACCCCTCACCCAGAGATGGGCAGCAAAGGGGTGGCCTAAAGTCAAGCAGAAAAGGGACAGGGGCAAAACTCCAGATCACCTGTGCCCCAAAGGGGAAAAGTTCCCTGGAGGTCCCTGGCCAGGTCTGGCTCTGGGTGCTGGGTGCACCCAACCTCCTCACCCTCCAGTAGTTCCTGGCATTCTCAGAAGGAGGCTTTGCTGTGAGCTGTCTGATCTTCCTTTGAAGAACAGAAATGAGCTCATTGGGAAGCAGGCTCTCCCTTTGTGGGGGCACCTTCCCTTGACAAGCCGTGAAGGTCATCCAGTGCAGACCACGAGCACTGAGACCCAGAGGGGAGGGAACACTTGACTTGTCACGCCCCCACCCCCCACCTTGTGAGCTTGGGAAAGTCACTCACTTCACTGCTCTAAGCCTGGGACTCCTCATCTCTAAAACAGGGATAAAAATAACCCCCATCTGTGAAGATGAAATGAGGTAGGTACATGAGGGCTTGGCAGACCAGTGAGGGACAGTGGAAAGTAGCCCAGCTTTGGCGTCAGAGGACCCAGGTTCAAATCCTGACCTTGGCCAGTCACTTTTCTGGCCTCAGTTTTCTGAGCCAGACTCATTGACCTCTGAGGTCCTCATTGACCTGCGAGCTCCAAGGCTATGATCTTAAGGTCTAGAATAATGTCATCTCTGCTCATTCCTCTGGTCTGTTTCTTTGGGCTGCAGAACTACTCAGAAGCAGCTTCCTGCTCCTCTCCCCTGCCCCCACAGGAGACCTCAGCAGCCCGACCACAGAGTTGAATGACCCGTTGGACACCCAAGCTGCAAATTAAGTTTCAAAACCGTGATGGAAGGGACCTTGAAGAAAAAGCAAATTCCTGGGCCTTCTCTTTGAACCCCAGCTCAATCTCTCCAAAGTCTCTTCCGGTCTTATGTAAAAAATGTCTTTATGCAGAGAGAACTGGTGGGAACGTAAGTTATTTTTAAAAATAGAACACTCTCTCTGACTGTAATTCGGCATCACAGTATGTCAGAAGAAGGGTATGAACAGGAAATGGGAAGCCGTGCTCAGAGCCTGATAAGGGTTTCTAATGTAAGACATATGTCGCTGCTTCTTGGCTGAAGAGCCAGACCCATTAAAGAAGGGGAGAAAAATGCCTATATTTGTCCTTAACCCAACTCCCACCAGAGCAACTTAGAAGGTTTTGGGAGTGTCCTGTGATTTGAGAGATGTAGTTCTGAAGGAGGTCGACCAGGGGCAGCTCTGAACGCCTGGATGGGGGAAATGTCTGGAGAGAGGGTCAGAGGGGATGGGATTTGGCCTGCCCTGAGTCTATACTGGGGGAGGGGAGTGTCCACAGAGCAGGCCTCCCCCACTCTGGGCTGGCTGGGAGAACCCCTTGATCAGTCAAAGGGCATTCCTTTGGAGGGAAGATTAATCTCTGAGGCCTGGGACCGCCCAAAGACACTAAGAATTCTGGGCTTTCAGAAAGCTGAACAGTGGCAGTATCTAAGTCTTTATTTCTATTGCGAAAAATAGGAATCATTCTCAAGGGCTCTGAAAGGGGGCTGATTTGTGGCTTATGGAAAGGGTGGTGCTGGACCTGAAAAGGAGAAGCATCAGGGTTTGCTCATTGGGAAGGGGAATGACATTTAACTTCCATTAAGTGGCTTGGTTCTGAGGGTGACAACCAGCTGTCCATCCACGGGGGGGGGGGGGGGGGTAGCCAAGTTTCTATCTCCTCTTGCTAAGAAAACGTGAAACTTCCTGGAAATAACAGCCTAACAGCTGTAAAGGGGCAGACCTCAAGTTTCTGGCTCTTTCTAACTGAATTTCCAAGGAGGTATTTGGGGCAAGGCTGAGTTGATGTCCTGGGCATAGGTAGGTAAATACAAAGGATTTCAGAAGCCTATAAAAGTCAGGGCTTTGCCCAAATTCTGAGGCAGTGTGAGAGTGTAAGCCAGCCCCCACTTTGGGGCCAGAGGCTGCTCACTGGCCTTTGTCTGAGGTAGAGCCTTGAGGCTGTAGCTTTGTTGAATGAATCTGTGGGAGCCAGCCCTTACCTCCCAGGGCCCAGCTTCCTCAGGCCTTCTCCAAGGTCCCTCGCAGCTCTCTAACGGTGATTCTTTGTCCCTAACAACTACTTCCTTAAATTCCCTGCCATTGTATGGACTTGTAAAGATAAGGTTATCTAAATGAGGCCCTTCTGTGGAATCCTTCCCAAAGGAAAGTTCTGCTGCTAAATATTCATGGAATCTAGGGAATTTGATTAGAGTTGGTCCACTCACTGGGTCCAAGAGTTAGAGTCCCACAAAGCCCTGGTGAGCTCTCTGGAAGGCATTGCTCGTCTTTCTAGAACTTTCAGAAACATTACTCTAGATAAGTCTCTTGGAGTTCTCAGTTCCTCAGAAGCTGGGTCCTGGCCTAATATTCCACCCAGTCAACATCTCTAGATAAGAGCTAGGGGCAGCAGGGAAGTAGATAAGATGGCCAGTCTGAATCTGAGAAGAAAGATGGGACTCATTTTGGAGAAGATGAACTTTGAAAATGCTCTTGGCCGTGTCCACAATGGTTTTAGATAATCTGGCTTTAACAATCACATCCCCTCCCCTCTTTGTTCTGAACGGACTAGTTGGAATTGGACTCAAATCAGGCAGAACCTCTGATTTGGGGAAGGAAGGAAGGAAGGAAAAATAAAAGCATTCCTTTGGGGTGCTGACTGCCCCGGCTAAGTGCTGAAGAGACAAAGTGAGAAACAAACAAATATAACATTTTTGTTTGTTTTGTTTTGTTTTGCTCTCCAGGCTCTTGCCCAGTAACTGAGGGAGCCGGCACATTTTGCTTGGCAAATGGAAAGGCTCAAAACTCCTGGGGGCACAGAGGTAGCACACAGGAGCTGGAGGGAACAGAATCAGGGCAGACCACCAGGCTGGCCGTCCACCTTCTCACCCGAAGGCTTGTAGGTGGGGGCTCCTAGTGTGTCCGAGCCTCGCCCCGTCGTGGGGTCTGGGCTGGGAGGCGGCCAAAGAAGAAGGATCGCCCTCTTGGCCGTTCTTCCCACCCAACCTGGCTTGGCATCTAGGAGGCTCCCGATGCTGCTGTAAGGTCAGTATATGAAAACCTTTATGCCCGGAAAGTTTGGCCTGGAGGTATTCACAAGGTTGTTTTCTCTTTCTGGAATATTCTAGGAGAGCTTAAAAGCAGAACCCCTGTCTCAGAGCCAAAGGGGTCTCACAGGCCACCGGATCCTCCCCAGCCCACACAGCTGACTGGTCATGCGGCCCCACCCCCTTTTTCAGTTCTTTTGGGAGTTTCGTCTCCCCCCCCCCGAAGAGGTCTAGGGGTTTTGGGGTGCTGGGACCCCAAGATCGTGGTACTGGGCCCTGCCTGAAAGAATTCAACTCAAATCTTCTTCAGCCAGAGGAAAAGTTTATTAGTGGTAAATCATATAGGCCGGGTGACGCCCGTAAGGACGAGTGGGCATGAGAGGTTCTCAGCCTTTTGAGCGTGAGATTCTCAGCATCTGAATGAGGGCCAAGGTGGATCTTAAATACTAAAGTAACTTTGGGTGGCCAGAGAAGGGGGTTGGGTAAAGGGTGTAGGTAACAATTCTAATTGGGGAGGTCGGTGAGATTGAATAGACAATGGGAATAGATAATGGAGGAACAGGAAGGCAGAAGTTTGAAAGGCATCTGCACAAAATCAAGGTGGGGCTAGGACTTTCAAAAGGAGACAAAGGAAGGCCTTTCTGGGGCCTATAGACAAGAGGGAGCCTAAGGCTTTTAGGGCACATCTGAATAAGATTAAAAGGTAAAGCTAAGGCTTTCAAAGGGAGATGAGGGTCTGGGGCCTGTGAGTCAGATTCCCTTTGAGGCAAAGGGTGAAGATCTTGGCTTGGGCCCTGCCCTCATCACCCCCACCCCGTTCAGCTCTGAAGTTCTTGAAGGCACCATCTTTCCTTTTGCTCGTATTTGTATCCCCAGCACCTAGCAAGCTCCTGATACATGCTTGTCGATTGACTGACTGACTGAGGCCTGACCGATGCTGTCCATGCGGGGCTCTCGCTACCTCCCAGGACCACCCTCACACTGTGGGACAGCTCCCAGGTCAGGGAGTTTGTCCTGATCTCAACCTTCAATTTGCCTCTTTGAGATTCCCCTCCACGGCTCCAGCTTCCCTCTTCCACTTGGCAGACTTTGGAGACTTTTCGTGAATCTTTTCTTCCCTGGCTCCAAGCCCCTGGTTCTTTCCACCCCTCATCTTATGACTTCAAAGCCAGGCGGTCTGCCTTCCTCGTTGTCCTCCCTGGGATGCTCTCAGGAGCCTTCCCCAAAATGAGCAGCCACCCAGCCCCGGGCCGGACATCGCCCCCTTCCTCCCAGAAGCTCGAGGCTGAGGGGGAGCCTTTGGGGACTGCCCGACCCGCTCTCCCATCCCCTGCTGAGCCCTCCTCTGAGTCACACGCCTCCTCACTCTTGTTCTTAGGAAGCTGCTTTCTGGAGCACAAGCACAAGTCTCTGCATTTGTCCCTCGCAGCTTTGGGCTTATTGGGTCAAGCCCGATGACCCGCCTGCTGAGGCATCTTTGGATCCTGTCTGCCGTCCCCTGGGCTAGCTAAATAATCGTCATGATGAGAGCTCACTCTGTGCGAGGCACTGTGCCAGGGACGGGGGGGGGGGGGGGGGGCCGGCGGCGGTGCAATTATTAACAGGAGGGAGAGCTTCAGTCTGGGAGGTCACAGGGATGGTGAATTGAGCCATAGGAGAGGTCATCGTTATGCCCTTGTGATGGTGATATCGATCCCATTCGAGCACCCAGAGCAAGAGGTGGAAAGGGAGGGGATGAGGCTTAGCTGGGCAGTAAACTACCGAATGACATGGAGGGCAAACCACGGAGCCAGCACTACCTGACTGAAGTAAGCACGCGACGGACTGAATCCATCCGA